GGATAAGAAACTGGCAGAAAGTCTGTGGTAGGGAGTAGCTTTGGATACCGCCTCGATCTGATCATGCTACCTGGTGAGCGAGGTCAGTTGTGGCTTTCCAAGCTTGGTTCTGAAAACAGTAATTATTTGGCTTTGCTGTCTTGGTTGAATTCAAACAGTAACTTCATAAAAGTCCCTAAAATATTTTTATAATTGAAACTTTAGGGTTTTTTTAAACAGTTTTTTAAATATGGTCACTCAGATTTCCCCGGCAGGCAGCGGAGGGCCGCTCAGAGCGCCCCTTTACAAGAAGAAGACCAGGGACGAACTGTCTGCGCGGATCAGAACGCACTCGAGTGCGTTAGGAACTTATTAGAGGCACCAAAGGACAAACAAACCAGACACAAACAAATGGCTAAAAGTCACAGCGTGACCGTTTTGGTGAATTAAAAGTAAAACATGACGCTGCATCTTTAGTGTATTTTTTGCTCATCTGCCCTCTCATCGTCATTCTTGGTTTTATGCACCAAAAATTCAGCTTAAATTTTATTCCGAAGGTCCCTGCTGACGAGACGTTTTATACTCTTTTAAAGACAAATTTAAAGTTTTTGTAATTTCTTTGTAGAGCTGAAGAAAAAAAATGTGAATTGATTTATTGGCAGTGTTAATTTCCATGTTGAATAAATTTTAAAGATTTTTTTTTTGTTACTCTGATGCAAACAGTAAAGGTTGACCCTGTAATGTAAAAGCTTTCTGAGCTGAGCTGTCATTCTGAAGGCACCTTGCCTGGGGAGCGTTTTCCCAGGAGCAAATCACCACTAAATTTGTTTTAATAAAAAAAAAGTTATTTTATTTTGCTTGAATCCATTCGGGAAGCTTTGTCCCTGAATCGCTGTCTCCTGAAAGTCCACTAAACACGAGATTGTAATTGTTAAATTGAGCCAGATAAAGTTGGGAGTCACACAGATGTTTCTTTGAGAGAGTCGCTCCAGGCGCAGGTCAGCGGTCGAGTATGGAGTTATATTTGTGTGTGCGTGTTATTGCACACGTGAAATCGTGCCGCTTCACATCACTGACGAATGAGCCACGAGAGAAACGCACGATCAGCTCTCAACTCTGTTGCATAGAAGCTCCCAGATTTTAAATTGAAACCAACATGGCTGCTCTGTTGGGCACCTGCTGTGCGTCTGGGTAACAGTTGGAAAACACCTATAAAAGCTGAGACAACTATAACTCAATACTCGAGTTAAACCTCCGAATCAAAGAACTCATTCGAGGTAAAATCCACCAAAATCCTAATTGGCCAAAAAAAGTGCATCCATGAATGCAACTTCAGAGGTTTAATTAAACCCAAACCTGCCTCGAGGAGAAGTTCTGCCTCTGAGAAAAGTTTGTACAATTGCAAATTAACTCATTTCTTCTTCTCTACAATAAATTTCTACTTCTGGGCTGACGGTTTTCATGCATTAGTGTTAAAAGTCTGATATTTTGTACCTGTTCCTTTTGTTTTTAACTTTCCTGTACTCAAAGCATTCAAGTACTGAAATTCCTCCCAACATGTCACACGGGCAGGGTCCCCCTGATTTGGTCTGTGCCACAGAGTCAGCCCGGCAGCGCCTGCGATGGGCTCCCCGAGCATCTTTGTTTTTCTCTGCAGCTCGCATCACTTTCATGTGTCATCATTTAAGTCCGATCAGTGAAACTTAAGTGCAGAATAAAATATATTTTGATAAGAGCTTTGAGTTTTTATTTGTGTGTCTGTAGAGTGTCGGTGCTGAAATAGCGCCAAAGAATACGACTGAATGGCAATCATGAATACATGTTTTTTTTAATATATGTCAAACAAAAATAGCCGACTTTAATAAAACAGTAAATCTTTGATTTCAAACGTCCTCAGGCTGGTGCTTCTGCAGAAAGCAATCAAACCGAAGCGGCATGCTGCATTCCCTGACCCATCGAAATTAAATGAAAGCGAAGCGGTGAAATGCTCACAAGCCTGTACTATGAAGCTAGACCCTGGCTTTTCACTGCCACTGTCTTACCAGGACACATCTGCATATTAACTTGTGCTGCAGGCTTACCCTGCTCCGCGGCAGGTAAGATATCAACATGCACAAAATCACCGTCTACTGACCAATCGGTTCTCAGGAAAACAGCATCATCATTCCTGAAGATTCCTCAGAAACTCGCTGTTCCAGTTTTGTGAGGTTTCAGAGATAGGTTTGTCTTTCTCTGATGAGCATCGGTTAGAAATAGACTCAAAAGCAACTTTTTTTCTTTGCTTGCTGTTAACTAAAAGCGTAGGTTGAAGCTGAAAGAGTAGCTAAACCTTTCTTACATCAGACAACAGCCTGTTAATTTAAATAGCTGTAATGATGGGGTAGGAGAACTCAGAAATCAACAAGACGTGGATGTGCTGGACTTTGTAGGTTTACAGGTCCCAGGTAAACACGTCAAGCAACACAAAGCAAGTTCAACCTACCCCAGATATATCTTTTCCTTATGTAACAAGGATGGGAGTCATCCCAGAGTTTGGCATCATGTGACCAGACAAGTCAGCAGAGGCATTGATTGTAAAAATTAAATAATAAACTTGATTATTAGAGAAATTAAACAAGATTAAACTCACACTGTGGCCTAAACACAGCAGCTGCGTGGTAGGATAAGCCCCACATGAAAGTGTGTGGGCTTTCAAAGCTTTGCGTGGTCAGTAAAACCGGAAAAGTTGGCAAAAAACAGCAGCTCATGCCAGTAAGGAGGCTGACTTACAAATTTTATACAAGGTCAACAAGTAAAAGGCTTAAGTGCCCTGTCTGAGGATTATATCAGTATTTTAAGGCTTATGGAAAAATAGAGTGGCTTAAAAGTTGTTTGCAACCAGCACTTAAAAAAGCAGGTCAGGAGGTTGCTTCTAATACTCTCTATTTCTTATTGATGGTGTCACAGAGAGAAAGACTTCACATAGTCTCTTAAAACTAAAGATACAGTTATTTTGTGCCTACTGAGGTCTGAGGGATCTTCTGGGGGTGGTGATGGTAGGTGGTGATTTTTTTGCACTGCACGAGTTGATTTCTTATCTCCAACTTAACCTGCTGTGGCCTTAAACATCAGGCTAATCCTGAATCCCCAAATGCTTTATAGTACATGCCCTAGACATGAGTAATCAGTCAACTGGTTATAATAAAATACACATTTTTGTCAGGTTTAGCTTGTGTATTGGGAGGCTAAATGGAGCTCATGCCTGAACCAAAAGTTCTTGCATTTGTGAACATGCAAAGAGACCACTGGGAGCCTCTCTAGTCTAACTTTTCATTGTGCGTACTAATGCTGTGTGGAGTGCAGTGACACGCTGCCTTTAAGTCCTCTGTGTGTGTGTGTGTGTGTGTGCCTGTACTAGTTTACATATCTTTGTGGAGACCAAAAATTGGAAGTTTACTATACATGTGAGGACCAACAGCCCTTATGGGAACAAAATCCACGTTCCCACGAGTTTGAAGGTATTTTTGTGATTCAAAATGTGGTTTTTAGTTTCAGGGTTACAGAAAGCATTATATCAATTAGTTGTCCCCACATTGATATGAAAACATGATTGTGTGTAGGGCTGAACGATATATCGCATTTGCGATAATATCGCGACATGATCAAGTGCAATTTTCTAACCGCAAAGGCTGCGATTATACTCTGGACATGTCCAAATTCATGGGCTGCATCCTCCTGAGGCCGCATTTGTAGACCGATTACGTCACAGCGACGCGCCGAAGGCTGTCCAAATTACTACCATATCCCAGAATTCATAGCGCGGCCCAGCCAAACTCCAGTTTCCAACAACGGCGGCCGCTACTAAGTTTTAAAATTACTCATACTAATCTTTCTGGGTCACAAAATAAACTTTTAACATATTTTCAGGCGAGAAAGTAGTTGTGTAAACATCAAATATCTGCTCGGTTTATCAAGATATCCCATATTTGCAAAAGTGCTTCGACGTTTTCAGAGGCGTCTGCTACCCACCAGCTCGACAGCTAGCCGGGAGCTCGAGGGTTACTGATGCGGCCGAGAACGGCACAACTCCCGGCACATCATTTTCAGATCACCGCGGAGTTTCGCTGCTCGGGTTAAACGTAATATATAAGTCACTTAGACAACCTAAAAATGTTATTGTTGGGCTTTTTTCAGTGTTTTGTTTGTTCGTGAGTAAATCGGTTTGGCTGAGATTAAAGTTATTAGATTAGATAAAATAAAACTTTATTAATCCCCCGGGTGGGTTCCTCCTTGGTTTTCACACAGCTGACTAAACGTCAAACAGAAAACTTATTAAACAGAAGTATGAGACAGTCGAGAATTTACGCCAGTGTCTGGTTATATTTTAGATAGCAAGAAGCAGACGGCCGAGTTTATTAAACTCCACCGAGACAGCGGTGACGCTAATCAGAACTAGACCGTCCAATTTCACGCCTTTAAACTTTAAAGGCGTGTTTGTGTGTGTGTTTATACAATTGCTATTATGTTTGCACTTTATGTGTAATGTTACTGACTGCAGAGATCAGTAAGATGTGTGTATTTTTTATTTATTAGTTTTATTTATTTAATATTATTTTTTAATTGAATGACTGTCTAGTAGTTCACAGATGTCGAAAAACTGAGTGTGGTAAAGCCACTGATTTTGTTTATGTATATTTCTGCAATCTGCACATTGTACTGACTTTCATTTTAATGTTTACACCAGGGTTCCTTGTCAGCACTTTATGCTCAGATGTTTGTAAGCTAAAAATAAACTATTGTGTATGTTCAAATATACTGTTGTGATTGAAGAAGTTAAATAAAAATGTCAGTCATCAATTCATGCATCACCTCATGTCATCATAACAGAGGTCTGTCTTCCAGGAAAGAACAGTTTAAAATTAATGTAATATAGTATTGGCCATACTATATGATGTATTGCTTGTCTTTGTTTAATAATACAGAAGACAAAGACCTTAAAAAATAATCGCATATCGCATCGCAATCGCAATATTGGGGCAAAAAATCGCAATTAGATTATTTTCCATAATCGTTCAGCCCTAATTGTGTGTGCGTGTGCCTGTGTGTGCACTGCAATATTATTAGTATGAAAATAATGTAGACTGCAGCAAAGGCTGAAAAACCCTGAAGAAGAGATCTGCCTATGTCGTAACTATATAACTTACTCGACTATTATACATTACTGTTTAAATAAATGCCATTTTTATACTCTGCATAAGGCGTTAAGGAGTAAATCTATAACAAAGTAATAAATAGTACTGTGCAGAAGTTTCTGATGTTTAGTCCCATTTATCAGACAGCATATACAGCAAAGCAGCCCAGATTCATCATACAGCATGAAGATGTCTCGCAACAGCCAGTCATGAAAAACTAACTTCAGCCACAACAAGAACAAGAAGTCCTGTAACATATGGTGTAACACCCACAGAACTCTGATCTCTACATCATGGAGTGAGTCTGGGATTACATGAAGAGACAGAAGACACAGGCAGAGGAAATCCACATGAGAACTGTTGGGATTCCTGGAACAACCTGCCTTCCAAATGACTTAAAAGAACTTTGTGCAAGTGTACCGACATGAACTGGTGCTGATTTAAAAGGCAAAGCACTGATTTGATTTAGGTTTCGCCCTACTTCACAATCTGTAAAACGTTAACAGCTGATAACTGCAAACTATCCTCACTTTACTTGCTTGAAACGTTTGCACAGCACTAAGAATTTCAAAGTGTATTTACCGTCAGACTGGATGCAAAAAACTAAGCACGCTGAAATGTTTCATCTCAGTAGGATTTAATCTGTCTCTCGCTTTTTGAACATTAATCTGATTTCCAATCTAAATATTACCCAGTTAGTCTGTGCTCTACCCATCACACAGACTGGCTGCAGCCTGGTTAAAAGGCTGTATAAAACACTCAAAATGAGAGTTAAGAGAAATCGACTCAATACGAACTAAGCACACCCAGAAAAATGGCACTATTGTACAGTAGAGACCAAAATTAGAGAATAAAGTCAAGGCTGTAACAATTCAAATTTAAAGTTACCCTAACACTAATAAAAATATGTCATTGAGGCATAGTGTCGAATTTGAAAACGCTGAAAATACTGTACAACAAAACTGCAAAAAAAAACTTTCATGAGAATTTCTGAAGGAACTGTGATCAAAACTAGAGAACGCTTTGGGATCTGACAGACCCCCATAAAAATAGAGAACAATCATTTTGAAAGATGGGGAGCTGCTGGTTGTTGATGGCTGTGGTTCAAGTGGAGGCTGAATGTATTAGTGCTCTTTGGACAACCGGCTCCTCTGACTGCTAGAATATTCAAACAGTTTACCTCTAAAATGCTGGCCGTCTATACAAGCCGAAGGAGAAGAGGAGAAAAGTCTTAGTACAGATTTGATTCAACACTGATGCCGATTCTCGGCTGAAAAGGTGTAAGGTCCTTTCTCGGTATACAGAAATCAGACTGAAAGCCCGCAGGGACCAAACCAATCATGAAACAGGAGAAATCAAAAGCGTATACTGAAATCTGCAGAGGAACAGATCACGTGGACACAGAGGAACTGGTATAATAATAAGTTCACACAGCAAGCATCATGTTCTGCACTAAAACTGGAAAACAAATGCACCCACACCAGTGTGAAGAAGCCAGTTAAGTTTGGAGGAGGGAGGTTAATGGTTTGGTGGATGTTTTCTGCTGCAAAGTTTGAGCCTCTTACACATCCCCTCAGCAAGGTGAATGCTAATGTCCCGATGAAGCTCCTTCAACACAGATTATTCCCTCCCTGACATCAGCGTCTAATCAGCCAACAATATTTATGCAAGACAATGCTCCGTAATCACTCTGCAGAACCGGGAAAGCACTTCCTTGCAGCTGTTAAGCCTGAAATAATGAAATGGCAAACCCTGAATCCTGAACTAAACCCAATCGAGAATCTCCGGTTGACTGCTGAGGACAATGCTATGGCTAAGAAATCCACTACGGTTAGCAGACTGAGGACGAGATGAAGAAACAGCGGGACGAAATCAAACGGAGCAGTCGTGGAATTGGTAACATCCACGCTGCAGATCTGCCAGCCGCTCCAATTAAGACGGCTTCTGCAGTTCTTGATCATCAGGAATGTAATTTTTAGATGTCTATTATTTTATAGCAACAAAAACTTTTATCTAACTTTGATCACTTTAGTTACACACTGGGTCCACACTTCCTTATTTCCTTCCTAGATGAGTCCTAAATCTACAGCTAATATGCCATGAAGGCCACTGAAAGGAAAAAAAACAGTCTGAAATTTTGATCTCTACTGTGTCGCCAACTTGAGCAAGGACGGCCACCGTGAGATAACAAAAGAGAGCCCTCTTCAGCTGACTGTTAGATTGTTACGTACACGGTTTTTGGGAAAGTGCAGTGCACAAATAAAAACAAACAAACAAAGGTGCGAAGCTTGTCATTTTGGCAATTTTAACTCCTACCAGTTTGTGCCTTAACTAGCTGCTTAGATCAGAGGAGGGTGGAGAGATTGGCTGCTGCTAAACTCCCCGTCAGATTGTAAATGTGTGGCTCCTGATCGTGGTTGTAGAAATGCAGATAATGCGCCAGATCCGCCAGGGTCTGCAGGACGTCGTAGGTTACTGCAAACAGGAAGTAGGTGGGCAGCAGCCAGCTGAGGCTGAACACGCAGTCGCCCAGTGGCAGAGGGATGGCAAGCTGTCTGGAAAGACAAGCAGAGAGAGCGAGGGAGAATTTATTATTCTCATTATCACGGTCGAACCGTTTCAGGAACGAAGAGCTGAAACAAGCTCCAACAGAAAGGGTGGAGCATGTATGCCAGTTAAACTGTGTGCTATGCCGCCAAAAATCCAACTCGAATCTGTTTCTGGAAACAAAATAAAGCCTTAAAGTTGTTTTTTTTTTTTTTTTTTTTTTTTTTTTTTCTAAATGACATCAGAAACAGCAGTATGCGACATTACGTGATGGCAGAGCTTCAGTTCATCCTTTGTCATTTTTTTTTTTTTTTTTTTTTTTTTAATAAATAGGACAGGGGGAATGAATGAGAGAGAGAGGGGGAGAGAAAGAAAGAAAACCAAAGGGGAGAAGAGACGGTGAGAAGGGGGGGAAGAGAGACAAAAAAAAACAAAAAAAAAAAACTCCTGGGTCACCTGTATGGAGAAAAAAAACAAACAAACAAACAAACAAAAACAAACAGAGGAGACAGCAAACAACAAAGAGCAACATAATAATAGAAAAACAAAGCACCATCACAATAAACTAGCTAGTCATAGATATCAGTATTTACTAAGTAATAAACGATATTGTGCAGCACGCAAGATAGACAGCGCACAGTGTGCTTTGAGGCAGCAGCCAAGAAAGCTTTAGTCCGCGTCTGTGAATACCCGTGTGTGCATACCTGTGTGGATCAGCATGCTTGCATTCCAAAGGTTTCTCCATGTAATGATCTGCTAGGGAGTGTGGGGGGGCCACAGCCCCGTCCTCCAGGGTGTGAAGCGGGTATGGAGGAGATCAAAACTCCAGACATCCAGAGGCCCCCAGAACACAAGAGACCATGGAAGACCAACAGAGGGGCAGCCGCGCCACTGTCCCAGTAAGAGCTGAGGAGAGTCCCAGATGAGGGCTCGCCCAGCAGCCGCGGAGCAGAAGTCAGGGGGAGTTGCAGTGACGCGCCCGTGAGCTCCGCCGGCCCCCAGCTGCGCCTGAGTGACCGAGCCCTAGGCCGAGAGGCCGGGGGCACCCCACCTCCAAAGGGGCCCGAGCGAGCCCCAGGCCCCAGGCCCCGACAAGCGGCCGCCAAGGAGTGAGCCGGTGTGTACCCGGACGCCCACCCCCAGACACAAAGAACCACCAACACACCGACACCTGAGGGAGTCCGTCACCGGCAGGGGAAGTGGTGGTGGGTGGAGATAGGCCTCCAAACCTTGGAGGGCCTGAGGTGTCCCCAGAGAGGTGGCGTCTGATACCCAACCTGACATATAGACACAGACATACAGGCACACACAGACACAAACATCCATTCCCACCCTCATGCTCTCATATGCACTCACTCCACACTCAACCAACGTGGAGACAGACATAAAGAGACGCTGTACACACAATCACACTCCCCAAGTGTACTCTACAAACCGGGTCTAGGTACCCTTGCCCCTGGAGGGGGGAATTGCACCCAGACCCAGGTGGTGTTACCCTTTTCCCTGCGGTGGGGAGAGGCAGACCACCCCGACTCCGCAGCAGCAGGGAGGCCCCACACCCCAGACCGCAGTCGGACGGCCAACTCCTCCTAGCCCTCCCGCTCCAGCAGGCCGCAGAGAATGGGGGTGGGAGAAGACTCCAAACCTCCCTCCACCCGCTCATTGTAGTGTTGATGCATATGTGTTCTAAGGTGCAATTAAAACCCAGGAGGGCATGGAGCTACCTGCCAAGGAGCAGCAGGTAAGCGCATAGTCCCTCCTGCTAACCCTCAATGACTAAGTGTATTTAAAATTGAGAGGTGGGCAACGACGTCAGGGGTGAGGTATACACCCTGATGGTGATTTGGACTCCGTGATTGTGCCCACCCCCAAGATCCTATATGTATGTGTAATGAGAGTGTGAATAATGTGAATGTCTAAGTTGTGGGATAAAATTGAGGCAGAGGCAGCCAGAAGGGGGGGGGGGGGGGGGGGGGGTAGCCTCCTCTGCACCCTGGTGACATACCCCCACTCCAAGGCCCTGCATGTGTGGGTGGTTGTGGAGGAGCGGGAAGAGGGAGACAGCTGGAGATGGGGAGGGAAGGAAGGGAGGGCAGGTAACCCCTCCCTGGGGCCAGCTCCCCGCTGACCCAGTAGGCACTCCCACCCTCCGCGACCCGCCAGGGAAGGGGGGCCCAGGCCCATCAGACCGGGGCCCAGTGCAGTAGCGCCCCCCGGCTCCACAGAGCCCTGGACAGTCCACCCAACCCCACCACAGAGAAAACTGCACCCACCCCACCAACCACACATCTTCCAGACTACATAAGACGGTAAACGCCCAGGCTGAGATCTTCCTCCACCTCTCCTGTATCTCCCCCTCCTGCAGAGAGTTCCTGAGAGAAGAAAGCTCCTGCAAGATGTGACCATCTCCCCCACCAGTTGAAGAGCCCCCCAGGCGGCTCGATGCACCGGCGGCACCCTGCTCCAGGGCCGGGCCCCCATGCACCCACCCGCCCACAACCCCGGCAACACACCAACCAGGACCCGAGGCCCGGCCCGGGCCCCAGCCCAGAGACGGAGCGCCCCCAGAACCTCACGCCCATCCCGGACCCACCCAGGGGCAGCCAGGTTGCCAGGTCAGTTGTCAGTTGTTAAAGTTGTTTTTTAAGTTAATCCAATCCTGAACATCACAGGTACTCACTGGAATCTGTCCTCTCTGCATTCTCTCAGCATGATGAAGACAAACAGTCCCACTTCAGTGTTGAGGGAGAACGACACAACTTTGTCCAACATGACAACAAAACCCTGAAGCAGATGGAAAACACGGATGACTGGCAGAATTCCAGACAGCAGTCATTACTCCGTGTGTGTGTGTGTGTGTGTGTTATTTACCCTGGGATCACACACCGACACAATAAAGATGACAACGAACCCGAGCAGTGACATGAATCCTTTGGCCACGCTGGAAGGAAGAGGAAAAAAAAGGAGAAGCATGAAATTAACTTAATCAGTCGTCGTCTGAAGAGCGTTTCAGATGAATTATACGTCATGTCACAGATCGTCCTCTTCTTCATTTATGTGGAGGGGGAGAGAAAACACGCTGCAGATTAAATTATAAAGGAGAGAGGCAGAGACAGAGAGAACCTGAGTAAACAGCCTGTGAAATCGGTTCGAGTGGCTTTTTGGTGCAAATATGGTGCAAGAGGAGTGAAACTTCGAAGTCTTGTGCCCAAAGTGAATCTCCTCAATAGGCCGATGCAGTTTTTATGTTTGCTTTATACTAAAATCACGACGAGACAAATAAGTAATAACCTGCGGACGCGCCGCATGATTTCTGCAGTGACTCCTGGTAGTTCGAGTACTTTTTAACTGGATGTTTTAGACGTTTGCGAGAGTCTCCCCTGTAAATCCTGCAGTTATTTCAGGCTTTGAAGCTACAGGTCTGGGACCTGCTATTTCTCAGAGAGCAACTCAGTTTAAGGTTTGCTGTTAATTTTGATCTCCAGTGTTTGACGCTGCTATGCTGAATCAAAGGAATCATCATATACATCTTATAAGGATGTTAAACTGATGGCATGATAGGATGTCTGCAAATCTTAGCACCCTAAAGCAGAGATATTAAAGTCATTTTACATCATGGGCCACATACAGTCCAGATGAGAGAAAGTCCTTTCTTTCTCCAGCCTGCTGAATTATCCCCATAAGAGAGAAAACAAGTACTATTTCAAAATCATGTCTCAGTGTCCTTATATAGAAATCTGTCAGCACGACTCTGTAATAAACTGTAAGTAATAAATGTGTAAAATTACAGAAAAAGTAGCTCATTGCCCAGACTGTCCTCTAACAAAGAAACAAAGCTTTTGCTTCCTTTGTTCCCTTTTTCTTTCTTTTTTTAAGCTGTGTGGACCAACTGTTAAAAAAAACAAATCAATCGAAATTTCGAGTGTAGATAGTGAAAAATCGGAAACTTTTCTGCAGTTATTACTTCTTTGGTGTAGTATGAATGAATATGGTGGATTTCAAGCTTGCTTGCTCTTGAATCTCTTGACAAAGAAGGAGTGAGGGGCCACAAGACAAAAACAACTGAAAGTTAGATTGTCTTCTCTTTGCTCTGGTGTAAAAGAGAGGACACCAGCTGGAAGCCTTGTGGAGAGGAGCAGTGACCTGGGTGCCACTGCTCATCCACCAGCTGGAGAGTGTTGTGGATAAGGATCACACTCACTGCTGCGCTCAGCTTTGCTTCGCAGAGTTTCTAACTGAGTGAAGAGACCCAGAAGCATCTGCCAGACCCAGCTCAATCGTCTAAACGCAAAGAAATTAATTACGTCCTTCAGCGTAGGACCCACTGGACCATCCTTTATAAAAGTACAGAAGTGACACATACAGATGATGTAAATTACTGTCATGTTTCCATCAGATGTAGATACGTTGAGAACCTTCAATAAAAGGGACAAAAATGAATTCTAAGCTAAAATCTCTTTGATACGAAGAGGCCTGGATTAAAAATGTGCTCCATAATTAACTAGCTTCATTTAAACGATCAAAGAGAATTTGAGCTTTAGCATGCCATCATTTTGAGCGCTGTTGTGTTGTAGCCTTGGAGATTATTAATAACTGTATTTCAGTAACAAATGTTGAAAGCCTTAATGAAGCCAGCAGACACGCTGGATCATGGATCATCTGGATCATTCATCACAGTGAATGGACAGGACGAGCAGGTCATCTCAACGTGACGAGCATTTTATTTTATTTAACAGCCTCAAAATTAGTTTTTCTATTACGTTCCAAGTGATGATGTGATAATCACCTGGATGTCTGCATGAAAGGTTCTGTGGAGCCCGGTTGTAATATGACATCTCTTTGTGTAATTATTTCTGTTAAAGAAAAATATTACATTTATCATATAATTCCAAGAATAAGCCATTTTCAACCGTGCTCTGCAGCCCTGAACTATGAATTCTGTGCACATCACCCAGAGGTCGTCCACATAAAAGCACAAACGTCTGATGTAATCAGCGGCGAATCTTGAACCACCCAGTTCCCAGTAGGCGGTGACTGTGCTGATGTGAGAATTGAGCAGCTTGCACTGCCAGCAAGAGGGAATCACATATTCTGCTTCCTCTGTGGTCTTCCCAGGCAGCACCCTCTCCTTAATCACATGGAGTATTTCCAGTAATATGCAAACCACTTCCTGCAAGGGGGCATGCATTAGAGAGCACAACCGTGGAAAACATCCCCACGTGATTCGCCAGAAAATGTCTAAAGTTTTTGTATGAAAAAGCAACTTCAACCAACTTTAACTTGTTTTTAAAGCAAAACTATAATTATAATTACATAACTGATTAAACTATTAACTTTTACATGTGAACAGCTGATGCTGATGATGCTCTCTGGCACATGAAAACTAAACGCTTTTACTCCCCATCATCACCTTCTTGCTGAGCAGATGTGCTGTTTATTTGGCAACTTTGGCTCCCAGGCTTTAGTCAGCCACTCCAGCTTGCTGCTCCACAGTGAGCTCACCAGACCATCGACTGAAAGAAACAGTCAAAACATAACATTACACAGCGTATTCCTTCAGTATAAATCACGACATAAACAAGAGAAACATCAACAATTGTGGCAGTACCACAGAGATGAACCACTAGTAAATAGCATACCCACAGCTTTCTGTTTTTCTCCTATAATATTAAATACAAAAGCAACAGCAACATCCAGAGCTGAAAGATGACGCTAATATCGAAGTTCCAAAAGATGCAGTTTTCTGAAACTGAAACCAACTTTCTTAAACCAATAGTGATGTCACAGGGTCTACCTTCGTCTTTCATGAGCAGTTTATGGGAATTAGTCAACTTACTGGTGTGCTTCATAGCAGATCCCATAACCAGGAAGGACACAGTGACGCTGATGGCTATAAACACCTGGATCAGCTCAGCCACCCATGAATAAGCCCTGTAACGTTCATTAATGATCTACAGGGAATGTCATGGGGGGTGATGGATGGCGGTGGGTGTGGAAAATGAGGACACAAGAAGAAGCTTAATACACCAAGCTGACCTAAGGTGACACCTACATGACGGTTAATTTCTTACGTTTATTGCCGGTGTTATTGCAACGTTTATAGGATTATGAATTTCACCTGAATAAAGTTCAGAACTTTTATGCAATCGCTGCATTTACAAGAATGTTTTAACGTTTTTTGTTGTTGTTTTTTTTTTAAAAAGAAAGAAAGAAATTAATTTCCTGTTGCAGATACAGGTGATCAAACATAATGCAAAAGGCTAAATGAGAACGGCATCCCTCTGTAACATGTTGTATACTGAGCTCTGGTTCAGTAGCGCTGCGTCTGCTCGCCTTTATCGGCCCATCACAGCAAATGCAGCCAACAAACCAGAGGCCTCGCAATTCTTCAGAGATGGCCTGCACATCAAAGCTTTCTAGCAGGATGTCGCAGATAGCATCCCCACTACGTGGCTGAAATTAAAGTCGAAACAAGCTAGAGAGCTCACGTTCAGAGGGAATGTTGATGCTGGAGATCATGTTTTTGACCGCAGTAATGTTTCAGGGATTTTTAGGATGTTTTGTGAGGGCCTTGCAAAATATGAGGACCTGCTCCTCTGAAACCTTTTCACGTTTCTTTCATTTATAAAGGTATAGGTCTTCACATTGGAAAAGCTTATTGGTGCTTGTTTGTACACTGAAAAGCCGTGCATGCATAAAGGTAGACTTGGACCAGAATCCTCTCCGCTCACACTTTGTTGTGTCTATTGTCACGAGCTGTGACAGTAGAAGTCTATCTGTGATGTTATTGTTGGTTGCACTATAGACCACCATAAGTTGCAGTGCCAAAATGACACGATGACACAGGTGGATGCAGAACTGAATTTAGCAGATATCCTTGTTTGGTGAAACAATATCCTGCAGACTTTTGAACGTCTGTTTGTATAAAGTTTAATTTCAGTCAGGAAGCTTCATTTTTGCATTAGGTTGATAACGTGTGGATTTCTACATTACATTTTGCCTGGTGCAGCTTTATTCTCCTGAGTTATTTTCTCTCTAAAGAGATCAGGTCAGGATGGCTCCAAAGCGCGATCTGACTGCTAATTAGTTTTTGAGCTAGGCCAAGCCAAGCACTATAGCTAATTGCTGCATGTTTCCATTAGCTCCACAGGAAGCTGTTAGCAGGGTAAAATCACTGTTTCTTGTATTGTACTGAATACAAACACACTGTGATCACATCTTCCTGCAGTTGATCGCAACACAAACTATTATCTGGCCCAGCATGTGCTTCGAAGATGGGAATCTGCTACAACTCGCTGTCGTTTGCTGTCTTCAAAGAGATGCTGTTTTTTTTTCAAGGTGTTGATAAAATGGTAAAGACAGGGAGTCGGTCTGCTGTAGGTGTGCTACCCAGCAACCTACAGTAAATGGCCTGTATTTGTATAGCGCTTTACTCGTCCCTAAGGACCCCAAAGCGCTTTACACATCCAGTCATTGACCCGTTCACCCACACATTGATGGCAAGCCACCCTGGGGCGCACTGACAGAGGCGAGGCTGCCGGACACTGGCGCCACCGGGCCCTCTGACCCTTGAGTAGGCAACTGGTAAAGTGTCTTGCCCAAGGACACAACAACCGAGACTGTCTAAGCCGGGGGTCGAACCAGCAACCTTCTGATTATAAGGCGAACTCCCAACTCTTGAGCCACAATCGCCCGGTGACTGAAGGGGTCACCGGGCACAAACAAGATCGCATGCAATCTTGTTTGTGATAACAGTGGATTACTGTGATGAGCAGGTGAAAATTGCATCTGCAGACACAAATGGCAACGTTGTTGCTGCAGGACAGCAATTTAACTACAAAAACAAAAACAAAAAAAGTCACTTGACAACCAGCTGAGTCAGATCCCCTATTGCAAAAGACAGATTGCAGACAAGTTGTGGTGATCAGTGCAGAGTTATTCTGAGTGATTGCAACATGTTAGCAATCTGTGTTCTGAGAGTAACTGCAGTCACTTCAAGTCAAACTGAGTTTGTTTAGAGACAGGTTGACGCTCCCCAGGGAATTTGTGCAGTTGCCTTGGTATTAAAAATGGTTGACCTGAGGTTGAGGGTGCTGCACGCTCCACCTCTGGTGAATCAGTTGGTTGTTTCAGCTACCTGTAATCTGTTTCAGACAGCAGAAAAATTCAATGGAACCAATGTGCAACCCTCGATTGTAGCCAGGAGGTTGCTGTTATTTATATCTAGCCTGCACGAGCCAAAGCACTTTATCAAATGAGATATGGGGTGTGTGTGATCTTTCTTTCAAATAGCTTCCTACAGGTAACAATTTATGCTTATTATTATTATTTAATCCACGATATCTGTAATATTTAAAAAAATATCTAAATTTTCCAGTTGACCAATACAAACACACAAAAAAGGGTTGGATAGTCATACCTTAGTCAGTGGAATAGTGGCAATCTCTCCTGCTTTTTCTGACCTGAGGGGAGCAGACAAACAAATACATGGAAATAAAAAACAGAAAATAAGTTTATCTCAGTGTTACAGATCTGTGAGGAGGTGAGTTGACTGCTGTTAACCGGTCTCTCAGCCACAGCTGTAAATGTGCCACCGAGCAACAAAAATCTTTATCTAATGTTTAACGCCAGCAGTGACACTTTATCAGCATTTCTTAGAAATCTTGTGAAATAACAAATAAACTACTTTTTAAGAGAAAAACCTTTAGCACACAATTCATCAGATTCCCCACAAAGAAGTAATAAAATGATTCAGTCTCAGTCAATTTCCTCTGATATATTTCATCTATGTAAACCTCACTGAACAGAGAAATTGAATCAGTGAGTAAGTCAGAAAGGGATTTGAATGTTATTAAGGGAGGATTTTCTCCCTGTTAACCCATACATACATATATATAGTCCGTGTGTCCTTTAAAGGTGAAGAAGTTTCTCTTCAAGGTTAGAGTGGCGTAAAACAAACCATAATATAATGCTAAATTAGGTTCACATCAATTGAAGCTTTTCATAACCACACCATAAATTCTAGCAGCACAGTTGCAATCCATTTCATTGTTCACTCAGAAACATTGTTGTCAACAAGCCGACCTCCACTTGCATTTCCAGAACCTTATTTTGTATGATGAGCAGGATTATCTACAGAGGAAGCGAAAGATAGAATGCACAATTCAGTTTAATTCACACATAGGACACAAAAAACTCTGATCTGCACTTCTTTTGCACATAAAAACCATGGATATGACCTGTGGCAGTGCATTAGCTTAACAGACACTGGCCACACCCCAGTATCATAGATAAACCAAGTAAAGGCTTACGTCTGAAAAATGTGTCTTGTGCACTGTTCATTTGACTGTTTTGAGTACAGACTGTATATAAAAGATGGAGGCACGTACCATCTGATAAAATCAGATGTCACAGAGGCGAGTTGGGGAGTTTTAACAGCCCCGCCCTTAACTGTACACTGCTCGTTTTACTTTAAATGCAACCATAACGATCAAATGTTGTATTCAGTAACACTTGTATGTATCTGTATATATGATAAGTTGCATGTCTTCATTTGACCGATTTCCTTTGATGTCTGTCTTTTGGGGAAACAACATTTAACACACTTGAAGCAGAGCATATGGTTTTGTACTGACATACCTGCGCTGTCTTATGCTACATTAATCTTTCTGACCCTTTACGTTTTTAATAGTAATTATCATTTATAAATGGCTCCCCTCTACATTAATTAATCTTCATTAGGAGTCAGTGAAATAGAGCCTGGCTCTCTCAGGTTTGCTGGGAGCTGGCCAACTCCCGGCCGGCAGAGGGATCTCCTGGGGAGAAACAAGAATACTACAGCAGGGGGAAAATATTGTCCTAAATATTAAATTAGCCACAAATGGTAGTAAAGCATATGGCAGGTCAGGGCTAAACCTATGAATCAGTGTTTCCATTTTAAACTCTAATTTCAGCCATTTGTCTGCTGCTGCTGTAATGTGCTGTAGGTTTCATTAGTTACTCTGTTGTTTTTCTTTGCAGCCAAACTAACAGAACTAAATGTTGTGCTGTGAAAAGAGGTTAGAGAAAGTTAAAGACTCAAGAATATGACAACAACAGTCGGTGTGCACACGTGAAAACTTGGATTTGCATCATAATTGCATAACAGTGAAATATAACATACCACCATAATGAAGAGAACAACCTTCAACTCAACTGAAACAAAACTAGGGAGCTGAATGAAACAATGAGACAAAGGTACGCCACATTGTTTACGTCACTGAAGCTGACGTACAGCAGCGTCTCCACCCTTAGAAGCAAATGCTTATCAATGAGACTGAAGAACTCAAAAAGTCTTATTAATCACTAAAGAGAAGAAATAGAAAGTTTTCTAACTGGAAGCTTCACACGATATGGGATGTGCACAGCCCAATATCAGAAAGCCCTGCTGTCGGGGGGATTGGAACCATCAGGGTTCCTGCCACATTTGTAAATTCAATCAATGACTCTAAAGACCTTTTAAAAACCTCAGTCTATTAAAAGAAACCTAGAACCAAATAAGACTGAAATCACAAGTTGGGATTTTAGGAAGAAAACACATAAACCTACATAAACTTCTGTTTTTTGTGGCAGACATGACAGTAAAGTCTTTGGATTTTGGACTGCTATGTAAAACAAGGAATCTTGGAGATAAAGTTAGGGAGGGCAGTCTGAGATGGCTGTAAGGAACGATAGTGGATATACTGAACAAAGAATGTTGAATATGGAGCTGCCATGTAACGGAGGTTCAAGGATGTAGTGAAGGAGGACATGCTCGCAGTTGCTGTGATAGAGGAGGATGCTAGGGATAAGGAGACACAGAGGCAGATGATCCACAGCATGGCAGTGCTTAAGGATGCGGCTGAAAAAAACTTGACGAAACAGTCACTGTTGTATGAGAAAGCTTAACCATGATTTGATGTTCTCTGGTTGATTGGGCCAAAACATCTTTCACTTCATGCTGAAAATAAACTTCCAGTTGTGTCTCTCTCATTCATATTTTTCCTTTGATGCAGGCAAACATCAGCAGCTGAATGCTGGAGTACTGAATGTTTCGGCGATGTTAAATGTTGAGGTTCTCCAGCCCTAAAAATCTTAGAACCATAGTGTCTAACCAGATTATTACTGTGTTACTGGCTTCCAGAAACATTGTGACATCCTATCTCAGAATGATGCTGATGCTGATGGAACTAGTTCAACTAGTTCAAGCATTTACTACTTCCAGGCTGGACTATTGTTATTCATTATTATCAGGTTGTTTTAAAAACATAAAAAGCCTTCAGTTGATCCAATATGCTGCAGTGAGACTGACAGGGACCAAAATAAGAGCATATTTGTCACTATATTGGCTCCCAAATAAATCCACAATTGAATATAAAATCCTTTTCCTCACAGACGAAGTCTTGAATAATTAGAACCTTAGCTTAAAGACCATATACTACCATATCACTCAAACAGTGCACTCTTTTCTCTGACTGCAGGCTTACTTGTTGTTCCTAGGATATTTAAAGAGTAGAATGGGAGGCAGAGTCTTCAGTTGTCATGCGCCTCTCCTGTGGAACCAGCTCCCAGTACGGATTTGCAAGACAAACTATTTATCTTTAAGACTGGGCTTAAAACTTTCCTCTTTGATAAAGCATATAGTTAGTCCTGGATTGGGTGACCCTGAATCGCTGCAATAGGCTTAGACTGCTGGGGCCTTCCGATGATGCACCGAGTGTCGTCTTAAATCACCTCTTTTACATTTTCACATGTGTTTAAACAGCACTGTGCATTTAATCATTAATTTCTGGGTGTCTTCCACAGTGTGTCTTATGTCTTGTCTCTCTCCCCTTACCCCCAACCAGTCGCAGATGGCGGCCCCGTCATGAGTCTGGTTCCACTGGAGGTTTCTTCCTGTTAAAAGGGAGTTTTTCCTTCCGACTGTCACCATGTGCTTGCTCATAGCAGGTCATGTCATAGTTGGAATGTTCTATATTTGTTCTGTATGATTGTTTTTTTCAACATTAAGTGCCTTGAGATGACTGTTGTGATTTGGTTCTATATAAATAAAATTGAAGTGAATTTATCACTTCTGTCGTGTCCTGTTGCTTAGGTAGAATTCTCACTTAAAGCATTTTTTTTAAAATGGAAAGAAGTGATTCAGCAGTGTCACTAAAGGAGGCGGCTTTGTGGCCACTTAACAAGTACAGTGTGAATGATCAGGCAACACTGGGGACTGACTGCTGCTCAAGTGTAGCATACACAGAGACAGAGCTTCTTAACAGCTACGGGAAGCTGCTGCTAGAGTGTCCTTTTCTTTACTGAAAACACAGGAGTTTTGGAGCTTTGACAGTCACTAGAAACACATTTATGGCCCTTTGGCAGATTTCCAGTGTGTGTTACTGTGCTGTAGTGAAGCCGGCTGCTTTATTACAAGAGGCTCTCTCACTGTGCGTCTGTGGAGGATTGTCAGTACAAGCTGGTTAATGTGGGATGCTTCCCCCCCTCTTAATTATCCGGAGAAGAAACACTACTTAAACATGTTAAAAATAAATTATGATTAATCGCACTGTGCACCCAGTGGCCAGTTCATTATTTTATTGCAGATTGTTTTTAAACTATGATTTATCTTTGTGTTCATCAGTTTACCTCCTATGTGAGGGGCAGAGGGCAGCAGTGTGTGTGTGTGTGTGTGTAGGTCTTTAAGCTTTGGTAAGCAGGTGACCCGTGGCTGCTCTATAATTGGTTGCTTCAGATTTCCCACAGCAGCTCTCTGTGCCCCAGACGCTCCCGTCTTTATTGGTAGTGCATTGGTATGTTTGCTGTTTTTTGACCTCGTGGGATTGAACTGCTGCCCCTCTTCCAAACATACAATTAACAGCGAACTGACCGGTACTGCTGCAGACTGACAGTTCAGGGATACCCTCACTTTTCAGAACAGGAGCCCGAGTATCTGTTTCACAACTCTCCCTGTTTGCTGTACTGTGATGTGTGTGACAATTGAGGCCGGGTTGCAAGACTTAAAAGAAAAAGAAAATGGCTACAGCCATCTAGAAAAACTGCTATGAGGCTAAATAACTATCTGAAGGCTAAAAAGCAATGAAGAGGTAAAAAAGCAAAAAACAAATCCCAAACCTCCAAAAACAAAATATATACATTTTGTTCAGAAAAACTTTAAAATATGGCTTTGCAAGAGAATTTTTCCCGTATATTGAAAGTCAACAGTGACACCACCGCTTACAGGAACTCTGAAAACTAAGCAGAATTAGTTCCTTGACTGTATGTTCTGAGAAAACAAAAAGGATCTACAAGGATATTTTTTTAAATTAATGCAGGCAGATGAAATGATCATACTGCCAAAACAGAGCCGAGCGTCACCCATGACAAAAATAGTGTGCTGGGATGATTATCAGTTTGCACCAGTCTGCTGCAACCAGTCCCTGTCATATAAATGAAAAGGAAC